ACTTTGCTGATCCTTGTGGTAACACCAGAAAGTGAAACAGGAATACTGTGCCTTTATCCCTTTTCCAGTTAGGAAACAAGATATTTAGAATCTAAGTTCCCTCTCTCACTGCTTTCAAAAGAAATGTAGAAACAGAATTGCAACATTTATTTTTCAAGAAACACAAAAGTCACACACTCCCAAGAAGCCAGTTAGGTGCCTGTACTCATACGTACGTGTGCCCAACCACACATCCGCATGCAGCACATCCTGTATGTAGGAAAAGAGGTGCTTCAAGGAAGACCAGGCAGAGCTCCACAGCCTGACTGGGAAGCAGCAATATGTTTTAAGAGATCAGGCTCTTTGAGGGATGTAGCTGTGGCTTGTGCACTGCCACCCACACCCGATCCCCTGGAAGAGATCAGATGAGAAAAGTGCTGAGTTGTTTCTAGGTATGTGCTGATGTTTATTGTTCAGCAGCTTGGGAATTTTATTGCCCCAAATATAGGTACTTAAAAATATTTAGGTGTCTATCTTCTGCCTGGACACACGAATACATCTGAAGGTTTGGATCGCTGGCTCCCATCTTATTTGTTGTACTGAAAATTAATGGCTCTTGGCTCACTGTTTCTGTGCTGTACAATGTGAGACCCTACAGAGTTCAAGCTAGTGTTACCGGAGCTAGCCGGGGAGGTGGAAGCTGTAAGCTTTATCGCACACACATATGATTTTATCATCTCATGAGCCTTGCTAACTGATGATTTCCCTTGGCAAGGTGGTGTACTTTGGTAGCTAAGCTGCTTTCAGGACTTGAGCCTGTATGTCCAGACTGCCCTGCACCAGTAATATCAGTTCATCCAGAGCTCCTTCCTGGTCTTAGATACTGTAGCTAGCTAGCCCAAGGAACACATGCCATAAGCCAAATATGCCTAAACCATGGAGGTGCTAATGAAAAAAACAACAGCAACAAAAAATAAAACAATAACAAAAACATTTTCTCAGTAAATCTCTAGTATTTTTACACTGTAAAGTATATCAGTATTTTGTTCACTTGAGCAATATCATGTATTGTAAAGCAAAATCCTAATGTGGTAGCTCTGAAAGACTTTAAACAGTTCCTGATCTTTGGCTTTACTCTTTTCTGGATTTGACTAACCATGGATTATCATATTAAATGTTGAATATTAAGTGTTAAACACTTATTAAAAAACATCCAACTTAAATACATGCTCTCATTATGATGATCTCATGGTGAAGTCGCTATATTTGATGAGACTTCCAACCATAATGACATTTATTTTAAGGGAAAGAACATTTTGCTGCTGTGGTGTGCATGTTAGCTGGTAGGAAACATGATAAAAAGAAAGGTCATGGCAACAGCAGTTTGATGAGAAATGAATAATTTGATTATTTTCATGGTGTGGATCAATAATGCTCTGCATGCACTGAAAGCCACTGCCTGGAGGCACTTAGACAATCAATGGAAGAGAACAGAGCCTGCCTTTAGCCAGGCCCACACCCTCTCTGATCTTTCTTGGGAGGACCCTTGACGCCTCTAATTTATGTCAACTGCATATCAAAGAAATTCCAAAGAGCCTAGGTCATAAAGAGTATTTTAGTGGTAACCATTTGAAGTCTGCTTACATATGTTCCTTATGTAACTTGTGTTTAAGTACTTCTCCTTTAATGCCTGGGAATTCCTACAAAGGCATAAATGCTACCTGGAACATGCATAGCAATCAGAATCTTGCAAGAGAAAGGGTGGTCAGAAGGGGCAAATCTTCTCTTTCATTGCAAGCTGAGCATATTCCAAGAATATTCAAGAATTTCTGTCAAAGGATCATGTAAACAAACCCTTCTGCACCAAGAATTCTCTTTAATGATGTACTGGACACTGACATTTTTAACCAAATAGAGCAGCCATTGGAAAAAATTAGTTCTGCACGATATTCGGAAGAGACATTTTAAGACACAATTTTGATGAGGAATTTCTCTGTTCTTCTGCAGTGGAAAAGGGGAGCTGGCATCATCTGGCTGACTCTTAAAAGCCAAGGATACTTAGTTCATTCTCTCCATGGAACTACTTTTTCCATCAAAGCCTAAGAAGGAAGAAAATGGTTCCCAGTAGCAGTCCTCGTATTACAATGTTTGCTTTTACAGCACTTATTCATTTTTTATCAAGCTGTATTCACCACACTTTGAATACACACACGTACACAGCGTCAACATCGCCTTCCTATCTGCCCTGGAGCTTTCTTAGAAAGCCATTTTTTTCTTTTAGTTCAGCTGGCTCTCACAGCACAGAAGATGGTGTATAGTATTTTACAAGAAACTAGGAAAACATTATCCACCAATTAAAGGAATACAGACTGCAGTTCATATAGTTTAACTGATGAGGTAGTAAAACTTGTTTTCAGCTTGAAGGTCATTGATTTTCTATAGCAGCTGAAGAGAGAATAAAATTATTTCACTTATTAGATCTGTGTTGATTGTACAACATTAGCTAAATCCACAAAATAAATATACGTAAAATTGATCAGGTGATCCGGGGTCAGAGCTAATTCCCAAGGTCAAGTAACTCTTTGAACATTCTCTAAAGTACATAATCTCAGGCCCATTCAGACAGTCATACACTCTTTTCTTCAATTGGCTCTCACAAAACAGGAGATTAACTGGACTCAGCTTTAACAGGCAGAACAATTATTCCAAAGTGCTTAACCCTCTAAGGCTGAGTTTGCAAAACGCTATTTCTAACTTGACAACTGAGCTAGAAATTTTTATTCACTGCCTATTGAATGTGTTCTTTACTGTCGTCTATTAAGCAGATACTTTGCAAGAAATGCAAGGTAATAATTTTGACCATGAAGCAAGCATGTGTTTCTATTTACTATTATATTCTTGTATAGGTTCTTATTCTATGTGAATAAGAACAAACTCTATTTCTACAGATTGTATTGAACCAGAACTTTGCAACTCAGGAGAAATGTATCTGATAGGAATTGCAACCTGGATGCTGAGGCTTGGTTCACAATGGCTGGAAAAGGAGAACTGACTGCAGGTGAATTTGCAGGTTTGAGATCAGTCCTTGAACCTCCAGAGACTCTTAGCTCTTTCTTCCCTGTTGCCAGACCTCCTTCTCTCCCTGAACTGAAACATCATTTAAAACACGATTCCTGAAGCCTGTGTACGGAGTGATGTGGTGTTGGATTGTTTTTTCTCTTTCCTTCTGGTGATAGAGTGCTAGAAGGCACCCTCATTTAAGAGCTGGATGAAAACAGGGAATTAGGTATAACTACTGCTAAACAATTCTAAAGAAAGGCAAACTACTGTCATCTACACAACTTGAATGAAAATGCTGGGAAATGTGTTAATTCCTTTTCTTTGGGGACAGGACCTTTTCCCTCATTTGCCAGATGCAGGAAGATGGACCTGCTTTGTATCCTCCCCACAAGCAGCCAGGGACGTAGCTGAGAACTTTAAAAGCTTAGGTTCAGATGAGCAGTAGATTTCCTGCTAGGTTTTGTATTTTTTAATAAATTAGAAAATGCATCTAGGAGAAGGCAGTCCTCAAACATGCAGCACAATCCCTTAAAAGAATGCTAACTTGTACCATACAACTCGATGTCAGGAGTATTGAAGTGACTTAAACTCACTAACCAAATCACAGCTCAGGAATCACATTTTTCTCCTATATGACAAGACCAAATGGTATGAGCTTTATGGGAAAAGGGATAAGAGAGGACAGACATGGGAGACAGATACACCATATATCTGAAAGTGTAAAACTCATCAGCTCATACCTGCTTAACTCCTGAGACTATCAACTGGGGCTCTAGATACCGAGGGTCCATTTAAGCAATTTATTTGTGAGTTTTAAGGCATAATTTCAATGCATTTCAGTCTTTAATTTAATTGAATAAAACCTATGTGACAGACTACTGAAAAGGAAAAAAGAAAAAGGCTGAGAGAATTTGGGGATTAGTAAAATTTACTGCTATCATTCCTAACATTAAGAGCTTCCATATCACTCAAAGCAGGATGAGAACGCTTCAGCAAAAAAAAAAAAAAAAAAAAAAAAAAGGACAAAAAGACTCAAAATAGTTATCTTCTAGTATAAATACCCTCATTCAGATAAAGAATATATATTTTAATTGGGGCTCTAAAAATAACATATGAATGCATTAGTTTTTGTTTATTCTTCCTCTGAGCAATGTTCCTACTTTTCAGGCCATCCAACTTAAATGACATTTTGACTGAGGACTTCCTGATGTGAAGCTCGTTAGCATTAAGACAAGCTAATCCCAAATCTCCTTTTTTTCCCCCAAAGGCTCCCCAGCAGAAATCCTATGCAGTTAATATGCTTGCCCCTCAGCTAACAGGGAGAACACTTATACTTAGTGCCTTTCAACCTATAAAATTACAAGCTAGTATTCTGTTTAACAGAAGTCTTTATAGAATATTTAATGAAAAGAGCAAAATGAACCTAAAGGCATTCCTAGTACATTCAATACTGTTTCTTTTTTAAAAAACATTATAGCTTTATCCAAATCCTTGCCAATGTGTTTTCAAAAGTATCATATGTGAGCAAGAACATAGACCTATACAAAATCTGTCTGGAAGTAATACCACAACAGTTACATTATTCTTGTATTTCTTTTTACTCGTCTAAACAAAACAAAACAAACCCAACAATCAGTTCGTCATTGTAATGATATGACATATCAATTATTTTAGCCAAAAATAATTAAAATCCTCAGAGGTAAATTCTACCAGTATGAGTACCTCAGTCCAAATAGACTATGGGTGTATTTCAGAAATGTGTCAGCAAAAATTTGTAAAACTCTTTTTAGTTGTCCAGATACTTTTTTTTTTAGCTAGGTATGTGAACCCAATACATTAAGAGTTACCCCAGAAGTAAATACCAAACTTATTTCTATAGAGGAAAGTCTGCCTTTCTCTCTCTCATGCACACTCTCATACTCATTCAGAAACAGATCCCAGCTCATGCAAAAGCTGCTGACCTGATCGCATCGCATCAGCCCTAAGTATCTGAGAGACTTGCTGCTTTGAGCAATTTGGGTGGCTCCATGGTCGGTGATTTCTTTGCACCATCCAACATCCACTGTCTCTATCGTCATGCTGTATCGTCCAATAGCGATCAGAGCTGTAAAGAAAAAGACAAGAACTATGGAGGTCTATATTGGTGGAGAGTAACATGTATACATGAAATGACACTGAAATGAAATTCTGGGTAGCATTTTCAAGAAGTTTCCTGGAAGAGCAGTCTTGCATTTTTCTGATAAATGAACTTGTACCATGTAAAACATCTTTATTTCCATGTTTCGCTAGTGTAAAATAGCTCCTTCTCTTCAAATTGGGAATACACTTATGTGCATAGATACACACAAACATATCAACAGAAATTTCTATGTGTTTATCTATCAAGATAAATAGCTATAATCCCCTTCAGCTACCAGAGATATGAATTCTATAAAAATTCTTTTTTTTTCCAGAATGATCAGTTCATTGATGAAATATAGAAAAAAAAATCTACCTTAAACTTCAGAGAAAATTTTACACTACTAACACTTTTTTTTTTCAACACATCAATATTACAAAGACAACACAGAATAACAGCATTTTCTGTATCAATAAAACAAATTGGAACAGAAAACCCTGCAGGTATCTTATGTCATGTATTTTGTAACTATATTCTAAAATGCGTTTGTTTTCCATTGTTCATGTTGATGGTGTAATAACAACCACATGCTTCACTTTTATGTTCTTTTCAGGAACACTTTTCTAATAAAAATAATAAAAAAAGTTGAGGAAGAATTAAAACAAAAACTTGAACTCTCCATAAACATAACAGAAAGAACATCTGGAAGTTCCCTGAAATGTCTGAAAAATGGTTGAGACAGGAGAAACCACAACGTATCTGATCAACTTGGGAAAGCTTTGTCATGTCATGGCTAGTCTGGAATGACAAAATGGATCAAGATGACTGGCAACCTGGTTACCATGGACTAGAACATTTCTCAGGAAATACGGGATAGGAGACCTTTAGTCAAGTTGGCATTTATTAACTGAAATGATCAGTAGCCTTCAGCACCTAAAAGCTCAGCTTAAAGAAAAAGTCCAAGTCCAGCATGGAATTCAGCCATCTGGATGTAGCCAAGGGGTTAGAAATTTCTTTAGTATTAGCTTTTCTTCACGATAGTTATTATGCAAAAATGGTCTAATTATTGCTGAAAAAAAGTTGAAGTGACTTCGCCCAAAAAATGCAAGCATCTATTATTTTTAAAAGCATGATTTTTCAGCAGTTGTGAACTTGTTTGGTTCTGATCTATAGATCCATCTGTCAAAGAAAAAAGGAGTTATGAAGGGCTGGTACCGGCTCTTGATATGCCAGATACTCTGGGTGTAACTGAGAGGTAAGAGCAGAGACAGACAAGATCCCACCTGACTGCACAGCGTTTCTGCAGAGACTGGCTTGAGAGCAGTCAACACTGGAGACAATTTGTTAATTTATAAATATTCAGGTGGGCTTAATTTGCAATCAAAATCAGCACAGAGAGGCCAAATGCCATTTCAAAAGCTGTAGAATTTGCTTTGGAACATCATTTTTTTCTTGCAGCAGTTCACCAAAAAGGGCAATGATAATTTAATTCTGTACCTGACATTATGAACTTACGATACAATCATCTATGTACTTTCATTATGGTTTCATTGATTTTTGTAGGACACTACCAACTCTGTTCTCTTCTCAATACAATCCTAGAAAACAAAACCTAACTTTATAAATATGCATATAGATGGAAAGAGAATTTAAACTTCCTATTTTTTTTTGCAGAATCCTTTAATACATCATTTTCATAAAAAGCATGGAAAGAATGAGAAACTGATTAATTTTTCAATAAGTTACAGGAATCAGAGATTATTATAACTGTGTAAGATGTCATAAACTGGTTTAAAGTAGTACAGGAATTCAGTAATTTGATCATTAAATTAGATTATTATCAATTAAACAATCTCAAATACTATTTGAATATTTTTGCTAGTTTGTATAAAGTTATAACAGCATGTTTGTACTTAAAAAGAAACAACCCACCCACTTTTGCTGTTTAACAGTCTATTATAAATGGAAGAAAATCAGCAGGGAATATTTACTACTGAACTAACATGAGGTGTCATCACATCTTATGGGTGAGGAATTCTCCTTGTAGAGGCATTGGACATACAAGATCTGAGACCTTCCTTGCAACACCTAGATTAGAGAGGAAAGTTGGGAATGACACTGACGATGACCTAGAAAGGGTGCCTCTACCCTGTGTGCAGAACCTCAAATCTAAAATATAACCTGAGAATCAGTGCGAGAAGCTGCCTTGGAACCCAGCAAAAAGATGGTTTAAAGCATGAAATTTCATACACATACACATATGAAGCACACTCAAAAAATAAAGGATTCTCTTTCTTACTCAGTTATGGTAAATCAATTTATAACAATAAAGAAAACTTAAAACAGATGTGTAATTTGTCAGTTGAAATGTTACTGTATTCAGGCATTTTTTATTTTATATAAATATACTTTTGCACAATGGAAAAGAGTGTTAAGAACTACTGAAATTATCAAATAATTATTGAATAACAGATCTGATACTTTAACTAGCCAGTTATTAGTGCTATTGCTTAGGAAATAAGCAATAATAATTAAGATGAATGGTATTTGGAAAAGCCAGTATATACGTATGATTTTTAGACTATGTTATCATTACTATACTTTGTCAGGTATCAGGTAAGTGAATAACATAATTTAACTCAATTTCTTGAGACAGACAGCACAGTTTTTACACAAATACTAGTACTTCCTGGAACAACAGAAAATGAAAGAAAATCCTCTGGGTATTACATATCAATATAATATATAAAAAAATTGAATGGAAATCCAAACATGACATCCAAACAAAATCCAAATTTTGGCTGCTTTTTATTCTTTAAGTGAACATGTTTTACACTTCAAAAATTCAAAAATTTCCACACAATTGCTAATCTGATGTCTTCACCTGTGCTTCACATTTCCGTATATGAAAATAATTGAATCAAGTTTCATCCTGCAATTGATCTGTGTGTCTAATGCCAGCTCTTTCTCAAGCATGCCTGGGACTGCTGAAAGCGTAGTACTTCTTTTTGGCCTTGCCTTTCCCCCATCCTCAGCACTGTCTCTATCCTACACATAGGATATTTAGTGACATATGCCCCAGACGTCCGCAGCACATATTTGATTTTCTGCTCAGCAGTATTGAATACCTAAGTATTATTTGATAAACAAGAGAAATTGTCATTTTTTTTTAAGTTATAAACCATTCTAAAAATCAATCAGTGTATTACAGACTAAAGACTGTTAACGATGTTTTGCAATGCCCCAGAAGAAAATAACAGATTTACTCTGTACTTTGCAACTCTGTCCCCAGATTAGCAGCCTTCCTCCTGGAACACCAAAGCTTTTGGCAGTGCAGCACTGAAAGCATTACCACATCACACTACATTCATATATTGCAACAACTCTTCAAAATACTGAGAAAAGGCTGCAGAGCACAACTTCGCTTAACTGCAGCAACTCCTCCCCTGTAGGTCATGTTTATCCATGTATCCACTCATTCTATTCCCTGTTATACTAACTTTTGCCCTGTACAAATGTTAGGTTTATTGGTTGATATTTCCCAGCTCTTCCCTGGAATATTTTTTGAAATACCTCTGCCAAGCCATGCTACCAAAGCAGTTTTAAGCTAAAGATTAGACGGAACAGTCAGGAGCTCGGCTATTTCATCCTTGACTTCCTTTAGGAGTCCTGGGCACACACAATTCTCCGCTTGTATGAACAAAATACTTAAAGCCACAAGTTTCAGCTAGAAAAACACTTGCATTGCTCAACAGCCTTTCCTCCCTCCCTGTCTGCATTTGCCCACAACTGGCAGAGCTCCCCTTGGAATGCCGGGCAGTCCTCAAGCAAGGAAACGGATAGCACAAGTCTCACACATGGAGCTTGGGCTCCAGGTCTTGGGAACTTTTAGTACAACCAGCAGTAAAAAGGACTCACAGCTGCATTTCCTTACTAACGACAACCAGCCTTAAAGCATGGTGACCAACAGAAGCAATACTATTGTGATCATCATACACTGCAAATAAGTAGAGGTGGGCATGCAGGGATCCACCACATAACTTAAAGAGGCCAGCTTTGACATAAAATTCTCCCTAACAGTGCATCCAGTTCCTTTCACTTTTTTACTTTTTTTCCCCATACTTCCTTTTATTTCACCAAAAACAAATATTCACTTTTTTTTTTTTTTTTTTTTTTTTTTTTTTTTTTTTTTTCAGATCCAGGTTGGGTGGAGTGGAAGTCAACTCAAGGTCGCTGCTGCTAAAGGCAGAGCCCGGAGCCAACCCCAAACCTGCTGCTGTCCAGAGCTACAAGCACAAAAACAGCCTCTCTGCCACAGCTGTTTTTGTTTTTTTTTTCCCCAGATCCAGGTTGGGTGGAGTGGAAGTCAACTGATGTGTGGCTCCTGTCAAGCAGAAGATGAAGGGTAACAGCCTATTCTGATAGGAGCTGGAAAATCACCCGCACAGCCTTGAGTTTCAGTGGCAGTTTGTTATAGCTGAGCACATATGTAGAGCAAGATTTGTAGGCTGCGACAGTATCTTTTAGATGGCCAACTGGTATAGCTGAGGAAAAAAAAAAAAAAAAGACAAATCTTGTCCTTGGTGCACCAGTGCTAGAAACATACACTATTTGAACTGCATTTTTAAAGACCTGATTTAGCTAAACTGTAGTTCACTGGATCTACCAGATAGAAATGCCTTGCTTAGGTGAAGGGGAAAGGTCTCCACTCAAGTGAGCGCAAACTGTGAAACCAATGGCCACAATGAAAACACCACCATGGTTTATGACTCCAGGACTTGATCAGCCAGGCACTGAGCTTGCCCATCCAACAAAACCAGGGCCATTAGAGCACCATACCTATTTTGTATTATCTTTTTGGAAAACTATATTTGGATGTGTACGGCCTCGAGACTTTCCTCCTTGATTTTGCAAGAAACAGGAACAGATATTACACTAATCCATTAAAAAAAAAACTAGTAATCTGCACTTTACAATTTGACCAA